AAGATATGTTATTGGAGCTGGGCACAAACTATATTTTTACAAACCTGTAGTCACTATTTAGGATAGTTTTGGGGTGACTGGGTAGATTTGAGCATTTACTGACTATATGCCCTTCCTGATGCCTACAATTTCAAAAATCTTAATCATGTATGTGATTAGTGCAACTGACTGAATGTTCTTTGCAAAAGAAAAAAAAATATCCAGCAGATTCTGCTGGGTGGAATGTATCTTTATGCAGGGTTTGTGAAAACACCTTGCAATGTTTTAGATTTAATAGAAGCATGGAAGTCAGGAAGCAACTGATCATTAGTGAGATAGTGGTACAATGAAAAACAGAACATCCACATATATGGCCATCTAGTGAGTAATTAAATAAGTGCAAAACCATTCCACTCATTAGAATTTCACCAGAATTGTCTATACCAGCACTCTCATACTTAACAAAAACATTTAAATTAAAAAGTACATTACAGATTTACAAATTTAAATTTATAAATTTACAGATCTGCAGATCTGACCTGCAACATAAGTTAAATTTGAAATTTAACAAAGCTCCGAACCTGATAGTACTTCTACATTTATAACAAAACTTTCTAAAAATGTTTTAATCCAAGTAATGAGTGAGATCCAGATATGTGAAGAATTTCCTTTGTATGAAAATTAGCTTTTATTTTTTTATTTATAAAGAAAAAATAATTAAATTCATCCTGAAACATACAAATGCCTTCTTTAATATGTAAAATATACTAAATAGCTTTCAAATTGATATATCCTGATTAAAAGGATTTTATATTGGAAAAGATATGTAAAGAATAATATTGATAAGATAAACAGAAGAATGAAAATTATGCATTATTTTTCTCTTGAAAAAGCCTTTGACAATTTGGAATGGCTTTTCATGTTTGCAACACTGAAGTACATGTCTTGTTGCTGTAATTTTTTCCCCATAAATACAGTATATTTCTAAAGAACAAAAAGCCAAAATTGTAGAAAGTACTGTTAGTTTGGAACAATATACTATATTGAAATAAACAAGACAGTATGAAAGAAATAGAATTTCAGGAGTTAAATTAATCACGAAAAAGACACACTAAATTTATTTATTATTATTATTATTATTATTATTATTATTATTATTATTATTTATTTATTTATTTATAATAGCTGCCCAATTCAGCAATGATTTATTTACTTTACTGATTTGATGTTTACTCATATCGTATTTACATTTACTCAGTCCAGCATCCTTTAACATTGTTGATAAAATATATGCAATTATAGTTCTGGGTCAGGTTATTTAATGAAACTGTTGACATGGAATTCAATAGAGAAGGAAAAGCTGTTGTCTATCAAGCAACAGATTTTAACATTTCTGCCAAGGTCAAATATTCAGGATTCATTTTTGCAAAAAGTAACAAAGATTTAAAGATAATTGCTTTCAAGCTATATAAATATATTATGAGACAGTTCCTGGTGGGGAAAAAAATTAAAACTGCCTTGGTTTGGGAACATTATGACTGTCAAAATGAATATTATATCAAGATTCTTTTTCAAAATACTTTTATATTTATTGATAATAAAGTATAATAGTCCTCGCTTAAGAGCCACAATTGGGGCTGGCAACTGAACTGCTAAGTAATGTGGTCAGTAAGCAAGACATCACCTGACCAACTTGCTCAGTGATGGCAATTCTGACAATCCCTGTTGCCATTGTTAAGATAACCTCACCTGGTTGTTAGGTAAGCACCCACCCACAATTCAAGCCATTCCTGGCTTGGTTCCTCCTCCCAGCCTCTATCCTTGGTTCTTTCAAAATAAGAGACTGCCTTCTCTTCAAGTCCCTTCCCCTGACTACTTCCCTCATCTCCAGCCTTTAGGCTGCCCTGTACAGCAGCACTCCTTGATGCTGGGAATGCTAGAGCTAAATTAGAGACCCAGGATTGCTACCTTCATATTTTAACCCTGCTGGTCGAGCCCCAATCACTGAGTGCCACATTAACCCCATGCGGCATCCAGCCACCCAAACCTGTGTTACAAAGCCCCAGTGCTGCAACCTAAATCCCCTATCATCCTACACTGTGCCACCCCTGCTATCCTCTGCTGACTTTTGCTACCTTCGTCCTTCTGCTAATCCTTCTGCTGACAAGATACATCCAGTTTGGCCCTTTGTGAAGCAGCTTCTAGCTGTGCACAGCCTTGTTCCCCAAGCTACACATAGCCTTGCAAAGGACCAAGCCAGGCACTTCTCATCAGCAACAGGACAAAGAAGATGGCAAAAGCCAACTGGAGACAGAGGAGGCAAAATGGAGGGTTTCTACAAATTCTCAATTTCTACAATTGAGCATAAGTACCAGGCATTCCATTCTATTGTAACTTTGAACGGTCATTGAGTATGTGATCATTAACAAAGACTACCTGTATTAAATATTTGGTGTAGATAAGTAATGAATTGTATATGTTCCAATAAAAAACCAAGAATTAAATTCAAAAACTTGAAGGATCAAGAGAACAAAGTGACTGTTCTGAACTTCAGCTGTATTTTAATTCTACTTATTTAATATGAATTTCAGAGTGGATTATATTGCCCTATGATTCTGTAACTTTAATGGAAGGAACATCCTTCTGAGGTGGGTAAAATGAAGACCCATATTGTTGGGGACAATATGCTGACTCTGTAAATCACTTAGAGAGGATTGTAAAGCACAAAGTGGTATATAAGTCTAAGTGCTATTGCTATTGCTATTCTTGGTCCACAAATTTATACATGAAATTGTGTCACCTACAAAATTTGGGTGTTAGAGACCTTTTTTTTTGTATAATTAATTGTATTGATGGACTGCACTATTCACTCTAGTTTTCTTTCAGCGTTATGAGTAATGTTAACTAAATATTCTTCTCTTAATGAATAAGCAAGAAACATGGATTTGGACTCTAAAATGGTCATGAAATATCTGATAATACTGAGAGTTTCTAAGGATGTAGTAGTACACGGTATATTAGCTATATGATATTTCAAATCTGTTGCTTGCCTGCCTGTATTTCTTTCTATGTAGTTGATTTTTTATTTGTATTATCTATTTCTTACATTTTTTAAGAATAAATAATGTAAAGAGAAAAAGACAAACATGAATAAGTTTCCCTCCCTTGTTTCTCTTGTGTGATGAAAACTTCTTGGAAAATCTTTATATGATTTTTTTTTCCTCTTGTGACTAACACAAGATTGTTGCTGTCTGGTGCCTTCAAGTCAGAATTGACTCCTGGCAATTGCTTGGGCAAGTCCCTGAAGTTGTTTTTGCAAGATTTCAGAAGTGATTTGCCATTGCCTGCTTCCTATGGGTGAGGGAGAGAGGGCCTGGACCAAAGTCACCCAACTTGCTTTGTACCTATAGCACAGTGGTTCCCAAACTTGGCAACTTTAAGACTTGTGGACTTCCCGGTTTCTGGCCTAATGCTTGACTAAATGCTTCCCAAACGTTTTTCCTTCGTTACCCAAAAGTGCTTATCAGAAAGTCCCTATTTAAATATCCCTGCTGAGTTTGTGTGAGAAAGAAAAACCACCTTTACTCAGTGTTGGGTAATTATTCATGTTTGGAAAGCACTGCCTTAACCACTACACCAGACTGCCTCTCTAACACAATATCAAAGGGTTTTGAAATTTTTATTTGCTCTTCTGCCTATTGCAATGATTTGATTTGCAACCCATCAAGAGCCATTTCCTGCCTTGCATGTAACTACAGAAAATCCTTAACAATCATTGAACCAGTGACTACGTGACGTTACAATAGCTCTGAATGAATGGTACTTGCAAACAGGCCTCAAAGTTCCAGCACCCCCATGTCACATGATTGTAATCTGGGCATTTGGCAACCACTTAGAAAAGTTGCAGTGCCCCCTGGTCATTTGATTACCATTTCTGACCTTCCCTGTGGGCTTCCATAAGCAAAGTCAGGTCACTCCGGTAAGTCACTTCTAATCTCCTCCACCCAGTAGCAGTGGACCCTGACTACATTTATTCTATAGTAGCCATTTCTGTATTCTCACTGTCTGGCAGCAGTCATTTATCTGCCCACCAGTCTGGGACTTGCAGATTTCTGCCAGCTTCCCCATTGACTTTGCTTGTGAGAAGCTGGCAGGAGGTTTTCACTTAATGGCCCACAATCCTTGCTTAAGAAAGATAATGGTCCTTGAGACATCACATCACTGTGCTATTAAAATTCCAGTCTCATGTTTATCTGCCTTACAGATACTCCTTGTTGTTAAGCAGAGACTATCACATCTGTACAGCATAATCAGGCCTCAGAAACATCTCCCCTCCCCTCCGGCATCTCTATGATGCTTTAGTCAATTTGTACTCAGATCATGAGGGATAACAGGCATAAGTTGTCCTTGGCTGAAGTAGCATAAGTGTTCTGATATCATCCAAGAGCAACCTAAGAATGTATAAAATTTTGTAGATTTTGTCCTTTTTAAGTAAAGTTAAGATGACTGAAAACTTGAAACTGAAACAAGGGACAAAAATGGAAAACTGTGAATTCCAGTTCTTCTTTAAGCCTGGAAACCGGCTGGGTGACTTTCAGCCACTCGTTCTCTCTCAGCCCAAGCCACATCAGAGGATTGTTGTGGGGGAGAAGTGGGGGTGGCAGGAAAGTTTGAACAGAAAATGTCATGCTAGTAAAGTTTCCTGCTGATTCAAGAATGTATGAGTAACATTTTATCTCAATTGTGGGAAAGACTTAAGGTCACTAAGTAAAATAAAAACTAGTTAAAATTGACATTTTGCATTCAAATGAATGTCTTTGAAAAATCGATATAATCAAATGAAATGTTTCCTGAAATTGATTTACAGTACATTGATAAGATGTAATTGTATCAGTTTTTTTTATTTTTATATTGTCTTTATTATTTTTATAAATAACTGAAGGCAACAAACATACATAATACTCCTTTTACTTTTTAAAAAAAAAACCTCATCAAGTATTTTGGATTCTGTTTCTGAACAGGACAGCTGGGAAATCATAGAAGGACTTCGTGGAGTCATGAGTTGCACCCAGGAACCTCAGAAGCAGGAAGGCTATTTGCTGAAAAAAAGGAAATGGCCTCTGAAAGGCTGGCATAAGGTGAGAACCAGTCTTCACCGCTGGTATTTGTTTCCAATGCCATTTAAAACATTGGCTTGCTGTCCAGTGGTGGGATTCAACATTTTTTACTACCAGTTTTGTGGGTGTGGCTTTGTGGGTGTGGTGTGGCTTTGTGGGCGTGGCAGGGGAAGGTTAATGCAAAATCCCCATTCCCTCCCCACCCCACTAACCTGCTTTCTAGCTCTGTTCTCCTATTCAGGGCAAAAACAAAAAATCAGCTGGAAGGCAGCGGGGGCAGGGCGAGGCCAGCCTATTTGCCTGATTAAAAATCTGCTTTTCTATTGCAGAGATGGTTCTTTCTGGACAAAGGAATTTTGAAATATGCTAAGAACCCAGCCGATGTAAGTGTTTCAATATGTAGAGGTTGTCATATAAAATAATATTTCACAGCTTGGAAAAAGTAATAAGTGATTGTTTCTAATAGGCATCTATAGGAAGAAAATGATAATTCTGAAAACCAATATCTTATGTTGTTTTCTCCTAAGACAAACGAAATAACTTTAAATGGTTTTTTTACTAGACAGAGAAAGGGAAGTTGCATGGATGTATAGATGTTGGCCTTTCGGTGATGTCTGTGAAGAAATCAACTAAATGCATAGATTTGGATACTGAGGAACACATTTATCATTTGAAGGTAATCCTAGTTAGGAATATATTCTGAAGCTAAAAATATTATACAGCTCTTGGATACCATTATATGCAGGCTTAGAATCCTCTTGAAATTGCTTGATACAGTAATACATTTCTTTGCAGTTTGCTTAAAATGCAGGTTCACCATTTAATCTTTAATAGCCTTTTTCCTCCATATACATTCATATTTTGCAAAAGACACTGCAGCCAAATAGAGCCTTCATTGTAATAAAAAAATAAAATAAAATGCAAAATTGGTTGTTAATAAATAATGAATTGTGTCAGGATCAATTCCATATGTAATAATTTAATTTGTTCCTGCGGAAGATAGTTGAGAAAAGCAGCTCTAGGAGAAAACAAGTGAGCATAGTTAATTAATAAAGTGAGAATGAAGTGTAACATAGATATATTACTGTTTGTTTACTAAATTGCTTTAGGTAAAAATGTACATTTTGTGTAGCATATTGTATCAGAAAATGAGAACTATATTGAATCTATTTTTAATCCTGTTGGACAGAATGAACCAGAAAACATGTTGCTTTTTAACAGTATGAGCACAAATAAGATAAATTAGGCTTCCACTACTGATAGTGGTTTTTAAAAGCTTGATGTGGTTTTAAATGCTCAGGTCTAGATTTTGTGGGCCTTCTGTTTTTATTTATAGATTGGGAGACTAGTTGAACTTTTAACTGTTTTTTCTGTGGTTCTCAGACTGATATATATTTGATGAAACCAAAGACTGCATTTGCTAACTTTCATGGACAAAACAGACTCTTATTTCCACTATCACCAAAGTGGGTATATTTGGGAAGGTTTTTTTTAAATTAAATTTTGCATTGAAATCTTTGACAGATTTCTGCATGTGTATGATCCAACTTTTTTCCACTGAGAGGAAAAAGAACCTTCAGTGGGAAATATGACTTTTTTGCTTTGATTTTGCTGATCTGATTGGTCAGCCAATTTTTTTTAAAACCTGCAACTGAAAGCTAGTGAGAGACCAAACCTTTGAGCAACTTCCTATTCTTCATGATTGATATTTAATTAATATCTTCTGCTTTTGGTGCTGTTGTTTACATGTTCTAGGATGTTTGTTTTCTAGATACTGTACATTTTTGCTTCCAAGTGTCCTCTATCTCCTATCCCTTAGGTTGAAAAACAGAGCTGATTACAATAACTTCATTAAGAAAGTAAATCTGTTTCATCTGCTGCAGTAAAACTTCTGTTTTAAGGAGTAACATTATCCTATCCTCATGTAAAGCAGCTCAATCTGTCAACAAATATAGTACTTAGTGATAAATTATTGCTTTATTGTTTTGACTGGAGAAAGTAATAGCATATAGCAATAGCCCTTAGACATGTACCACTTCATAATGGTTTACAGCCCCCTCTAAGCAGTTTACAGAGTCAGAGTCCCCATTTTACCGACCTCAAAAGAATCAAACTCCTAGCAGTGAGCAGACTCAGCCTGCAATATTGCATTCCAACCACCACATAACATGAATTATATATTTATGTTGGGATTTAGTAATTATTGTTTCTATCACCTTCAATTCTCTACTAGGCAAAATCTCAGGAAGTATTTGATGAATGGGTAGCAAAACTGCGTCATCATAGAATGTATCGTCAAAATGAAATTTCCATGTTTCCATATGATATCAACAATCATTTCTTCTCAGCCTCAACATCTATAGCAGATTCAGTAACTGGTCTTTTGGAATCAACAGCAAACAAAAAGGTAGATTTTGTTTTAACTGTAGATTAAGGGGCATCCATTCAATGATTAATTTATTAGTTTATTAATTATAATTAATAATTAATAATAATTAATAATAATTATTATATTGATGATAGGATTTGAGGAACATATATAAAATGCAGTGCATAAATCATTATCAAAATGTTATTGGCTTTTTGTGAGTTCTCAGGATCCAATGAAAGACAAAATGTAATTTCCTCCTGGCATTTTTAATTCTGTTTTAATTAACATAGAAACGGGGAACAAAGTAGGTTTTTGTTTTTAATCAGCATTCTTTTGCAAGGTCATCTATGTAAGATAAGCAAACCTGGGCTCTTCCATGTTCTCCTGCCCATTTTAACTGATTGGCAGGGAGGGAATAAGGTCAAGACACAGTGTAATAGGAACTCTTTCCCTCTTGAATGTTCTGTGATAACATAGGTTTGCATTCTACGTTGTTGATTCAACAGGCATGTTTACTGATATATTTTGAAGTACTCTAATTACCTCTATTTAGAGTTAGGGAAAGAGCCAAAGATACTGACGGGTTTCTGGCTTTTAGTACTTGATGTTTCTGTTTCTGTTTCTGTAGATTTTTTTGTTTGCTTTTTTGATAACTTCTAAGAATTGAAGACAATATTTAGTGAGTATTTTTGGTGTAAATCTTTATTCATCTAGTCAGCAGATTAATACAGTATGGAGAGCATCATACATATAATCTTAATTTTGGGCAAGCTTTTTTAAAATCAACTTTTTGAATATGAATGTAAACCTTGATAAGTTGATTTTGAAGTTCCCTTAATCATAAGTCACACACTGTCAATCATTGGAAAATTGATTATTGTCATATTTATTATTATTTATGAAATCTTGTCATATAACAGAGAGGCAGCATGACACAGCAAAATTCAGTGCAGGCGGGAAGTTCTATGTCATTCCCTTGTTTAAATGAATCAAGAATTCCAACTTGTTTGAAGTCATCTGAAGATATGGAAAGATGTTCAAAAGGTAAAAAGAAAGTGGAATGATTTAAATATTCTACCCCTTCCAAATTTTCTCAGATAATTTTATGACATATGCCTGTTATCTTACAATGTCTACTTTCTAATGTTTAAATTAAAAATTCAGTCCATGTGATATTGAAATAAATACTACTGGTACATTACCTGCTTAAAGAACCTAAATAATTATCTTTAAAAAATGGAGCAGTTGTGCAAGATGAGACTTTCAGAAGAAACATATATTTCTTTGTGTTCTTTCTGTATGAAAGTACAAGAGTCCTTTGTGTAAATTGGACTTTCTTACAAGTATTAATGAAATATCATTCCTTATCTTTGTAAAATAGCTCTATTCTGCTTAGCTTGGAGCTGCTGTAATTGGTTCACAGGAAATCAAATCTGTAAAATATAATGTAAAATTTATTCCCTTGGAAAAAAATACAAGTCCTTACCGCTTTTCAAACAAAATGTTCTTGCTTAGAAAACAAAACTGTACTATTGGAATGGGACCATCCTTTATTAAGCTTTTCTGTCCCTAATAAACAATATATAATAACCCTATTACCTTTTTCCCAGGTGTTGATCAGTCATATGTGAAGGCTAATTTGAATTCTCTTTTATCATTAGCAGTTTTGACTAGGAAATATTCTTCTTTATATATTAAATGAGGATATAAGGAAGGGAGCCTTAATTATTTAGGAAATATTGAAATATTGAAGGATTAGCTGTTACAGTTTAATTCAAATAAACTTTTTGTTTTATGTATAGATCTTTTTTTAATTTGTTCAGTTATGTCCAAATATCAGATTTATTCAATAGTTATTACCTAGAGAGATTATAGTATACATTACAATAAATATTATATTTTTGCAATAGAATACTAATAAACATACTTTTACTGATAATTCTGATCTGATTGAGAGAAAGCTGTTGAAACCATATTGTTCATTTATGTTGGGAATTCTTTCTAGCATCTCTCTTTTTTTCTAGGCAGTTTGATAAATGGATAGCTGAGCTATGCCACTTCAGAATGTACAGAATGACTTTGCAACATATATTTGAAGTTACAATTAAATCCTGAAAAAGCTACTTATGACCCATTTTAGAAGTTTTGACGTCTGGTTCTCCCACATACCCATGACTTCATTTGGGTACTCAACAACTGGCCCACATTATTACTGTGATTTTGAGTTTTTCCTCAGAAACCATTTAATTCTAGCAAACAATGGACCACTTTACAACTTCCACATTTGCTTTACAATTGCCATGTACATCTTACAACTGCCACATTTCCTTAACCACCAGGGGAAAAAAATCAGATCCTGTTGGGAACCACCCAGCCAGGCAGGAGTAAAGTCTCAAGTGGGGAATTAATCTCAAATCCTTGCACAATGACAAGATAACCAAAACTGAGCCCTTCTCTCCCAAGCTTCAGTGAACCTTATCCATATTTTCTCAGGAGAAAACAGAAGAGATTTTTTAATAGAGAGGATATAATAAAACAGTTAATTTAATTTCTACACCTGGGGATCAGGTTGCTTGCTTCTGACAGGTGATCCACTTTGTGACCGTCATGATTTACAGCCACAATTGCTGGCTAAATTACAGTTATAACTTGAGAACAATGTGTACAGTGAAGGTAATTGGCATCATTGATTAATTGGCATCATTGTGCTAAAAATAAGCAATAATGCATTCATGTCAACTAAGTAAATTATTCTAATGTACTTTTACAGTTTTAAGAACCAGAACTGTCTTGTTAACAATAAAAGTAACACAGAACTATGGGACACCCTTGAAGATTTAGTAAATTATATCTGCTAAAGCTGTAAAATATTGGAAAAGTCTTTGTTCTTGTTACATAATGCCAAAGGAAAAAAAAATATGTTCAAAGATGGCATTAAATTCTTTTTAAAAATTTCTTTAATAGTTTTAACACATATATTTTAGGAAAGCATTATTTCAGATGCTATTGTCAAATAACTCTTTGTATTCTAGTTCATAGAATATTTATATTCTAAAATTTAGAATATAAAAAATTACATCCCAAGCTTTCTTTTAAATAGTTAATTCAACTATTAAATTATTAATTCTATGCTAATGGTAGAATAATAATAGCAGGTACTGAAATATTGAATAAAAACTTTTGCATTCTGTCAGTATCTTATTTAACAATTAAGTACAGCAAGACGTTTGATGGTTGAGCCCACTATTTTCTTTCTTTGCTTTTTCTCTCTTCTTTTCCACCCAAGCCATTGTTTTTATTCCAAACAGACCTCTCCCATTGTCAGAACTATCTCTTGGAGATGACCCAGCTTTTACAAAGCATGGAAGTTCTCCATAGGACATATTCGGCACCTGCCATAAATATTCAGCAAGTAAGTTGAAGAAATTGCCGCTTCTGATGGGGGTCACTCTGCTTGCTAAAGCTAGATTTCTTCCTAGAATGGTGATAAGTGATATGTTTCTCTTTTTCACATTCTATTGTAAAGGGTCTCCTTTTTGAAAGTCCCAAAAAAGAAAAAAGAACACACCGAAGATGGCGTTCTAGAGCTCTTGGTAAAGATGCTAAAGGGATGTTGCAGGTAAACCACCTCTTCTATATCTTAACTTCATTTTTAGTCTATGATAGATGCTGTTTGCTGGCAAAAACTTACTTTTTCCAATAGAACTTATAGTCTTAGTTGTTATTCTTATAGTAGGAAGAGATTTCATTTGGCTTGTGAAGGCAGCATGGAATGAGTGGGGCTTCTAAATTTTAATCAGCCTATTGAGCTTTTTGGTCAATTCACTTTTAATGAAGAATAAACAGTTATTTCCTTATAAAGAAACCTGCTTATAAAATTCTATCCTTTAGAAGAATGTCAAATCCAAAGCGGGGGAGGGGGGAGTTCATTCTGTGTCCGGTTTTTTGTGCATCGTTTCCTACACAGTATGTAGGAAGGCACCAATTCTTCAAATTAAGTGGAAATTTCTGACACAGGGCAGAAAACCTGGACAGAAATATTAACATATCCATAGTTAAACGTGATTAAGTATGCTTCTTGTGATTTTAGAATGGCTTAGTCCAATAAAAAGTTTCTCATTTACTGAACACATCTCATCAGAGAATGTCTCACTATTTTATATCTCACTATTATATTCAATCCATATTTTTTCAGAAGCACACATTCTTTACCCCATCTCTTTTTGATTTATCACCTTCAGTGTTTCTGACCTATTTTTCTTTTGTCATACCCAGCTCTCACTTCTATACAACTAAGTAGGAAGAAATCTGTTGTTATATACATACCTATTTTCATTTCTTTCAATTAATCATTTATTTTTTTCAACAGACTACATACTGCCCACTAATTTTCTATCAGCTTGTGCCTGTTTTAAAAATTTCTCCATTTTCCTATATCTTCTAAACATTTTACAAGATATACTAATTTATTTGCCTTCTCTAGTTCTTCACCATAATTTTCATAATTCACATAAATCAAGACAATTCACTTTATCATATAGTTTGTCTAGATCAATACACTTATAATAAACTTGTTTTTAAGAAGAGTCTAGATAGTCATTTATCTAAAATGGTATAGGTTTTCCTGCTTGAGAACCCTATTCTGTTCTTTTCTGTTCCGTTCCATTCTGTCCCATCCCTTACCATACCATACCATACCACCCTAAACTTTCTCTCACTAATGTTTCTTAATTTCTTAAATTGCATAAAGGAAAAATCTGATCTCAACCCTTCCTACCCAGCATAGTCACACTGCACTTTCAAAATGTTGCTTATTATACTCTCTTCTATTCATTAGTTAGAGAGACCATATTTTCATATGGTCTCTCAATAAACTAATCTTTCTATAAATGCTGCATTTATTCTTGCTGAATTTTCCAGAACACAGATGCGATTTTCACATCTTTTCACACTAGCCATTACCGGGGGAAGGAGGGTTCGCTACATCATAGAGTCCCTCCTTCCGGCCCTATTAGTCCCACTCCAAGGCCAGATGGTGGGAGTAGTCAGGACCCTGGTCTAAGGCTGCTGTTGCTAAATGCCAGGTCGGTGGTTCACAAGGCTCCCCTCGTCCGGGACCTAATTTTAGACGAGGGGGCGGCATGTATTACTGAAACCTGGCTGGGCCCTGAGGGAATAGTCCCCCTCACTGAGATGTGCTCAGAGGGTTTTCAGGTGCTGCACCAGCCACGACCCCAGGGAAGGGGTGGGCGAGTGGCCATTGTTATCCGAGGGTCTCTAGTTCCTCGTAGGATCCCTGTTCCGGAGCTTGTCAGGTGTGAGTCCTTACTGATAAAGCTGGACCTTGAGGGTCAAGTGGGCTTGTTGCTAACATACCTGTCTCCCAACAGTGTTGCAACAGCTCTCCCCTCGCTCCTCTAGTCAGTAGCCGAGCTGGCAGTTGAGTTCCCCAGGCTTATGGTGCTGGGGGATTTCAATTTGCCTTCGCTCAGCAAGCACTCTGATGGAGCACAGGAGTTCATGGCTTCCATGGCAGCCATGGGCTTGACCCAAGTAATTCGGGGTCCGACTCATTCGGCAGGTCACACGCTCGACCTCGTATTTCTCTCGGAGCAGT